TCTAAAAATGCTGTATATGCTGTATGGGTTACATAAATGTCCATTTTGGAGCCAAAAAGAAGCCGAAATCGCCAGGTTCTGGTCCGCATTCCAAAGGCCCCGATGACTTCCGGTAAAATGTGGGTCATTGACCCTTCAGCACGCTGTATTTACCATACTGAGCCGCGATTTAGAAAAACAGGCCGGGGATACGAACAGTAAAAAGAACAGCCCAAGCATCCCCATTCTTTAAGCGTGGGGGAGTCACGTGACCAAACCAAAATAGGCGGACGACGACGTGGATGCCGCGAAGGACGCTGTGCGGTTTGCGGCAACATTTGGGCCGCTAGACAATCTTTTAAACGGCTATACCCTACGTAGTTTTGCAGGTGGACTTTCATGGACTATTCTGAGACCTTTCTGGAGAAAAACCGTCCGCGTTTTCTGGAGTTACGGATTTGTTTTGATGCCTACCCCCGAAGTTCTTTGTTATGTTACGGAAACAGCAACATACTCGGAAAAAAGACTGAAAAGTTACCGGAGTAGATAGCCCTGGAGAAAAGCCTGCCCGTACGTGGTATGAGATTACTAGCGAATATAATTTTGTTGATTATGTGAATTTCTGTTGAATGTTGTCCTAGTAGACGTGTGCTTACAGTATATGATTTTTTTTACGTACGGAGTTTTATCTGCAAATATGGACAATCCGTTATAAGCTGCCACCGCTGTAAACCGTAAAGATATGTTCGTCGTTACAGTAAGATTGTGTATGCATTCCGCTCTAAGATAGCTTGAAGTTTGTTTGTATTGTATTTCTTTGAATAAAAAAAGAACGTTGCAGATTGGAAATCAGTTCTTGTGTCATGTTTGTTCAAGTACTAGTATCTTCTTCCTGCAACTGCATATAACAGTTACTACCGGTAGTATATTTACAAACATTTTGCAGTCGAAACAAACTCGAACGTTCCTTTTGGCAGTCAAATGTTTTTTCATAGGAAGTTGTTGGCGTAATCCATGCCTTTTTCTTGGTGATTTCTGTGGTATATTTCCAGTTGAATATGTGTTCCGACTTGATTAGCCGGCATGGCATGTTTTCGTAAATTCTTTGCAGTTACTTGGTTACTTAGCGGTCTACAAATAACATGATGTACTGTATTTACAAACGCTCTAAGTATCAGGAAAATTGTCTTTTCCTTTCCCAATGGCAAAGTGAAGCTCACACACACTGTGACAGTTCACATTCCTTGCTTCAAGTGGCCCAGCGGATTCGTGCTTTCGCTTCAGAGGGGCCGGGGGGTGTGCACATTATTTGGAAGAGCACTCCATATTTGGAAGAGCACTCCATATATGGGAGCCCGGATGGTAGATGGCGCGTAAAAATTGCGAACTTTGTCGTTCAATTTCGCGGTCAAAATGTGGCCCTGGCAAAAAATATGTTATAGATTATAAAAATAGACCAAAAAGTCTACCATGTCAGATAGAGTTTTTTTTCTATACTAGTATTTCCAAAAAGTCCTCAGGCACCCTTCAATATGACCTTAAGCAGAAGTTTGTCAAAAGTAGGAATGTTTATTGACTATTTCGCGTAATTGTGACACCGTCATTGATTTGAAAACAGTTTTGATCAGTGATGATACAATGTACATCCAAGTTAGCTAAAAACACCAAACTGCTTTTAGAAATTGGCCTACGACTTTTTTAAAATGTTTGCAATAAACATCTTTGAAATGAACATAAGGATGCATACTTCTTTAGAGTCGGGTCCATATATGTGCCCTGTCGTGTCCACCGCTGAGAAGTACAGCGTCATGAAGGATGGCCTAGAAACGTTCGGGAAAAAAAGCCCGTTATTCGTGAAGTCAGGTATATCGCTGTTACATCACCACCTTACCAACATCTAAAGACTGTGGTGATTGAAAAGTCCCCCCAGGGTTCGAATGACAACGCAAAACAAAATACGCAGTACCTCGTGTTCTCAGGTAGATCTAACCACTCCAAGACCTGGTTTACCCGGTCCTCGTAAGGTACGCTCCTGTGGGATATAAACACACGGATCATTAGTATGTGTAATCAGGCATTTCAAAAATCAGTCTCTGGCCCCCATCAGCCGTTCTGCGAATCAAATCAATAAGAGACTGGCATCCTGGGAGTAGTTGCGTCTATTTTGAATGTCAAGATGTACAATTGTGCACAAGACAAGCAGCACGAAGAAAAAACATGTAGTATAACTGGACTTAAACCATACAAGGCCTTACCAACGCGTCGTCTTGTACATAAATATATTCTCAACACCCCTAGATCTGTCTGAACGCTCTCAAGACATCGGACATTGTTTAAGGAACAGAGTCTACCTGATCTAAAGGAGCCTTTAGGAACAGCCAAATAAGTTTCAATTTATAACCGTCGCTATCTTGACACACGTACAACCAAACCTGTCGAGGTGACCACCTGACCAATGTGACCACTTTTCGGTGATCTCTTAAATGATTTTTCCCATTGACAAGCATTAATAACCCTGTCTATAGTGACCACTTGTTCACATAGACTAGATTTTATTGGTTCCATGAGTGGTCTTCTTGGGCAGTTTTACTGTCGTTTAATGAAAAATTAAACGCTTCGTTACACATTCAAGGAAAAATGTACAGGCTTTTGCAGTCAATGCAAGTATTTTATGCTTGCGTGAACCGAGCTGTCCTGACACATCGGACCCCATACCCGTCGTATCGCCGGTAGTAGTCTGGGTACATGCCATCTACGCTGACGTCCGAGCCTGGCCAGAAAAACGTCCCTGACCGCTTACCCTGCTTCTGCACGGTGTTCCACAACTGGAAAATACAGTTCAGTCTAACATAAGCTGGCATACTGGGTTCTAAACGGCTTATACCCTCTCCGACTAGGACAATTCACAGTTTCTACAAAACAGACCTGTCCCTGGTGCTGAACGCCATCCACACACACATATATAGACATATAATTTACTGAGTTCTAAACTGCTGATATCTTCTCTGACTAGGACAATTCGGCTGCTAAAACTCTTAAGTCACAGTTTCTACACTTTAATCTACAAAACAGACCTGTCCCTGGTGCTGAACGCCATCCACATACAGACAAACTCCGCATCGCCGTTCTACTTACCGGTTCTCCTCCCCACCAGGCAGGGACGAAAGACTCGTTACAGCCCAGGCAGAATGATGTGTTGAAGACAGGGTCGTACATGTTGTTTTCAGCAATTCCGTTGGACTCGCCATATAGTCCCTGGAAATCGGCCATAACAGTGATTCACTAAGTGTTCCCCAGCCTACGACCGATTGAGATAGGTTTGTAGAAACAATGCAAAAATTGAATGCGGATAATAAAGAGTTTTGTACTTTTGGCGTTAGAATGAGAGGTCCTCTGAGTTGGAAGAATACATATCTGTCTCGTTTCCACGTAGCTACATTAACAGACACACCAGGTTGGTCTATACTGGGAACATTAACCGTTTTTTTTCTACGTGGCCTTAAAGTTTAATTAAACGGGACACAGGGCTCCAAGACTGATGACCGAGAACAGTCTGACGAAGCCGCGCTTACCGTGACGATGGTGTAGTGGTTAGGGAACGTCACAGTCGGGAACTGGGCGTACATGTACGGAGCATGGACCCCGCACCTGGCTGCGAGGGAGAACATTACAAAACTCAAGTTGGTGAGAAGAAACATTGCATGACAAATGAAATGACATTACGTTTTGCTTTCTACATTACTTCTCAGCCTGGTTTACTTATCATAGGCTTTGGAGTGATGCAAAGTGTTCCGAGGGGTTCATTCACATATGCTCGCGTATCTGCACGTTATGAAACATAGTAAGTCCTACCCACCCATTCTGCCAATGGTCGGGGTGATGTCACGGAGGAGATATTCTGCCTTGAAACCATCGAGAGAGATCAGGAGAACAGGTGGCTTGGAGTAACTAGAAGAAGACAAGAAGAAGACAGGACAAAATCAAACACCGTGGCGTATACTTAAATGGAAGGTGAGATGACGATATCTTGATAAGTTTATTATTGCGTCCATGTCGTGCGAATTTGTGATGCGGAGTTGTTATACTGTATCCAAAGCTGGTCCATTGTGAACCGTCGTAAAGTGATCATTTCTATGACGCACTGGTCACAACGGTGCGCCCCAAATCCCGGAGCCCATGTGACAGTGTCCTTACCCTGCGGGACAGGTGGGACCGGCGGCGCTGATGCACGGCTTCTCCAGCCAGTTCCCGCGGCTGCACCGGAAGCCGCCTGTAGATAACAAGCACAGGGGTCATCATACATTCTACACGGCACAAGAGATAACACAATGACTTCACGCATGACAATTTACAAGACTAGGCAAGTCTTAGTAATCTCTCACATACACTCTTTGACTTCTAACAAAGAACTGAGAGTCTGTATCAGATTTGTACGAATTTGTTTGTATAGGGCGATCTTACTTCATCTCCAAAACAAGACATCCGACATTTCAATATATTCAGTAAAACGATAAGCAAGAAATGTTTTGAATGCAGTCTGTTTACTTGAAATTCTGTTACTCAACAAAGACGAAATGTTGTTGGAGACAGCAGTCCTGCCTGTTACCCGTCATTATCCTCACCTGATTTTCGAAGTCCAAGACCTAATCCAAGTCCAAGTGCCACTCCAAGGCAAGACACCTATAAACAAAGAGTACCGTCAGGAATGATTATACTTCAATTGACGTCTGCATTCTTACTTTTATATTTGCAGCATTTCAGTCTAACAACAAAATCAGTGGTGTACAGTATGATATTGGCCACACCCACCGTCAGCCCAGCAATGAGTCCCTTTCTGAAAGCCATCTTTGTCGGCTTCTTTCTATCCCCGGATGCCTGGGACTCCACGAACTCATCCTTCATACTGTCTTCTGTCTGAAACAGCAATGAAAGTCATTGTGGCACAACAACTGTGAAATGTACATGTCCATATATACTACGAGAGAATTGGAAGCTATTAAACTTTTTTTTAAACTTTACCTACAAGCTAGTCTTGTGGGCGAAAAGTCGGTCTGCATTCGTGATGTTCACCAGTCAAGTTTGTAGTGTGCCTTATCGACATAGTGATGACATAGCCTGTGGCACAAAACGAATTAGTTATTTTTATTACAGGGACGCGTAGGGGGAGATAAAATTGTTGTTTCTTTTATGTCGATAGATCTTGCATGTTCCTGTTGTTTATATGATCCTACAACCTTTCGGCATAAATTTTTTTTCTCCAATCTACCTGTGCGTATTTTTTTAACGGTGCCGCTCAACGCAAGGCCACTGGCCACTTCATGTTCCCCACCCCCTGCACATACACTCATTTTTAATCATTTCTGTTTAGTCACTAGTTAGATACTTGGGGGAACAATAAGGCTTTGTACCTGGAGTATATATGCGTAAAGAAAGTACTTATGTTTCATTTTATCATTACAGTGTACATATAGTAAGCAAACACGTCAAGAATGCACCTGCACTACATGTAGTTTGCGAAAAGCGGTCAATGCGAAATCTACAGTTCAAAAGTGTATCTTAAGTTTCTTTGTCAGTCGTGCTAAATCCGGATCCAGCGGTTATTCATTCCCGGTTGCTTTCTTTACGAAGGGCGTGGGTCAACAGTTGAATGAATGAGCGGCTCTCATTCAATAAGTTTCTTTAAACATTTACCCAACTGTGGTGTGCTTCAAGAACACCAACACACTAGTGTGACCTTGTGACCTTTTTAACAACAGTAGCCAAGGAAATGTTTGGAACAACTAGCTTACTAGCGTAACGTTAACATTTGATTATGTAATACTTCAACTTAAAGCGTTAAAGAAAAAGCTATGAAGAGGGTGCGTTTGGTACGCGTAGGCTTGACTTAAAGTAAACATGGAATCAAATGGCCATTAAGAAATGTTGTCAAATTTGATTCGCGCCCTTTCAGTACGCATTACATGTACATGGGTGTTCTTACTTTCTATCAAACTATCTACCAACACAGCCATGCAACGGAAAAAGGTGATTGAAGTTTCTGCTACCAGAAACAAGCTATCATCAATCTTGTCAACCTCTTCTGCATACTTACACAATGAGTTTGAATTTATAGAAAGACAAATCATGAGCAGTAAGGAAACGGTGTTGAGAAACAGCTAACGATACGATTGTCAAGTTAAAGTTAGAACGAGAAGTCCCATCTGGCCAGCTCTATGTCTCCAACTTGGTCCTAAATCTGTCTCGACATTCCTGGCGACCTGATCAATGGCTCTATGCAAATCGCCAGTGTGAACGATCTAGAATATTGTTTGAGATGACGGAAACCACGTAAACGGTCATGTATATAAACGCAGAGACGTTGTAAAGATGTAAATGTACTTTGACCCTCCCTTAGGGCACAGTCGCATACACCGTGCGATCTTGCGATCGCAATCTGAGGACATTCTTGAGACAGTCGTGCATGTATCGTGCAAACTTCAACAGTCTCGTCACGGTTAAGACTGTCTTAGATCCATGACGGTTCAATCTGTTACAGCTGGTTTCAAACTTCCGTGGAATCAAAACTGTACGAAGACGAACGATCGACGTGACCGCGCCGTTACTTAAGTGGAGTACTTCACACTCTGCGCAGCAGTATTTCACTTATTTTCAGGTCGAGTGACCCACAGATTAATAAATACATCCACACCATAAAGATAATTATATACTCACCTTTATTGCGGACTAAGTACAACAGTTGTCAAGTAAACAGGGACTCGGCCGAAGGATCTTCCGCAATAGTCTGATGTGGTCAGAGAAAAGGTGGACTCAGCCAAGAGGTTGGCAAACAAGGAAACAGCAAGTGGGGACGTTTCATTACGCACTGTCGACAGGTGAAGAAGTAAAACACAACCATGTTTAACAACTAGTGACGGTCCAAACAGTTTGTACACGTTTCTCATCCGGTTGCAGACACATCACGATCCTTATATCCCACAGTGCATGGCGAGAAGCCAGGCGCACTGCGAAGACCCGACCACCAATGTTTCATCCCGGATTGAGTGCAGGTGGTGTCGCCCTGCAGTAATCGTTTTCAATAGGTTCAACCTTTTGAGTGGACCTTACGTACGTTTACATCAGCTGGTTTGTTTACGTAATGTGTCGTAGTCGCAAAAATGCGATTGATAAAGCGATCGTAATCGTGGTGCGTGTTTTTTAAATGAGCTGTGTTGGAAAAGTTTTAATTATTTCGTACTGGTGACAACCAAAGAAATAAAAGATAGTTAAATCTGAGCCAGCGTGATGAAGCAGCGTTTTCGCGTTGCATTACAGTTTTAAGTTATCGGTCTTCACTAAACACTACATTAGGAGAGCACATATCCGGGTCAGCCGCAGCAATAAAGGTACACATGGTCTAATGGTGAGAAGTGCCAGGTAGCCTCGTGTTTTCTGGTCAATACTGCCCGGGCGTTGTCTTTACTCCTTGAGACTACTTGAAGCTGTCAAATGACTGCTAGAAATAATGTATGGTACAATGGTAGATCAACAGGTGGAAACTGGTGAGGGTGTGAGATTGCATTTGTAAGGACTGAAGCCTCTAACTCCTTATATACATCTCATTCATCAGTATTTCTTTTATTTTTCTAGGAGACCCAAACTAACAATCAATTAACCATAAAACCTTGGTAGCAGTTTTACTATATTAATTGTTGATTTAGACATTTCCATTTCATTCTTATCTATCAAAATTTGTAATAATCAGGAAAAGTCAAAAGGGCTACTGTGTGTGGCCTGACCTTTCAAACACGGTGATATGAAATGGCACATTGCCAGAGATATGACATGGCATATGACATGTGAATGGACAGGTGAAAACAAGACAATGTTTGATTTCGACAATGTACTTTGAACTCAGTGGTTGAAATTAATCTACAAAACATCCTATGGATGTTTTATTTTCAAAATTGACTTTATGGTTTGAAGTTAAAAGTTAAACCATCATGGCAGTATGGTTGTGGCTCAAGATAACGATAAATTTCTTGTCTCTTTGATACCCGCCAAAAGAAATATGTCTTGGTAAACTATTAACTTAACATCACATAAATCTCAAAGTAAACAATAAAGCAAACATGGCTAATGGATGTCAAGAGCACTTTAACACAGTTTGTGTGGTTATGTAAGCAACAAAACTATGTTTGTACATGCCGGTGAAGGTCGGACATCCAGATACAGCTTTACATGATGCAAAATAAATCTGGTAACTGGATAAAACTAAGACAGTTTATCCAGTTTCTTGATTAATTTAGTATTTTATATGTTAGTACATGCACAGAACCATCTTCAAGTAGATTGGCGTTAACTACCTCAATATAAGTACATACGTGTTACTACTGTTCACTGTCACTCACTACTGGTACTGTTAGCAATGTAAATAAGCAGAACAAGTATTGTGGTAGTGGCACTGGGATTTAGTCTTTCCCTTTAATTGAGTACTTCATACACTTCTACACTTCTACTACACACAATGTTGTAAACTATAATCAATTATTTCTTTTCCACTTGTACTTCTTGGGCAGATTCTTGAAGGGAGAGTCCACTGACTCGTCACTCATGTTTGCAATCCCCGTGTCTTGTAAAGCAGGGGCAGAAAAAATCTTGGGGTCCTTCCAGTAGATGGGATCTTTGTGCATCACAGGGAGAAAACCTGGAAGAAAAAAAGATAAAGTTTAAAATAAGTTTAGACACATGCACTCTAAAATAATAGGAATAGAGTGCTTCTGTAAAATAAGTTGACACAAGCATCTATTCCTCTCATTTGTAACGCTGGTGTTTTAAAGACTGGAGGTAATTACAATAAATGAAACAGTATGGCAAAACGACAAGATGATTCTCTGCTCACCAAGGTGCTGAGCATTCCTGATTTGCCTCTCCACCTCCTTTTGTTTTTTGTCACACAGCCCTGTGATGTGGCGGCCATAGATACGTCCTGTGTAGGGAGACAGAAACTGGGACAGAAGCTGGGGGTTCTGGATGTGCAAACAAAAGACACAACAAGTTAATTACTTGTATTTTGGGTAGACCACTTCTGTTGGTTTGAATATTATTTCTTCAGTTACTTCTTTGGCACTTTTGTCATTGTTTTGCTGATAAAATCTTTCTACCAGTACCCAAAATGTATAGAAAAGTTTGCATATATAAAATATAAAATAGTAGAATATTTTAATTTCATAGATAATTCAATAAGGGACTAACCTTGTATGAGAGTTCAACATTACAGAGGATACACCTCTTGACCTCTTCCTTGTAAGGATCCTCCATTCTTCTTTGAGGCTGGAAAAACAAGAGTTTGGCAAAACACTTAACACCTATACTGCACACACATATACAGTAGGGCTGCGGACCGGTACACTGTACCGGTCCAATACCGTAAAAATCGTTTCGGTACAGGTCCAAAATACCGGATCATGAAGTAACGAGTATATACCGAAATAGCTAGTTTACACCATGTATATGACTAAAGATAGGTAAATCCTACCACAAAGACGAAAAATTAGCACTGGAAAAGACGTAAACACCGTCGATTGATTTGAGATCCTCAGTCTCAGGAGACATCGCGAGAGTGTGGCTGATCCAGGGTTGTGATTGGTCAACAAACTCAAATCAGGTCAGAGGTCAGTCATTTTCCCTTCCCTCCAACACTTTATTATTGTTTCTGTGTCATGATTGAAAAAGTGAAGAACACGTGTTAATTTGTCAAATTGTTCAGGTACAGGTACAGGTCCGGACCTGTACCTAAACCTCTGTACCAGTACCTGTACCTGTACCTGATGTTACGTTTAGGTACGCAGCCCTAATATACAGCCATTTACATTCATTGTACATGCTACTGTCTGTAAATGTTTAATAAGGTTTTAGCTGCCATCTGTCAAGGACATCCTGTATAATGTCCTTGTATCTGCATATCAAGACACATATTATGCATGGAGTCAATTATCAGATGCTTCATTGGCATCATGCCTTTGGCTTTTTCTTCCAATTTCTCAGCCAAAAGGGTGTTTCTTACACACATCCAAACTCTCCAGTGCATCAACATTTGTTGGTACTGTACATGTATATCTCCTGGCCTCCAGAGTGTGTAAGGTTATATTTCTGCATCTGCAGACCGGAGTAACAGCCATCTTTTGCTCAGTATTTTTATCAAGCAAAGACTGAACCCAGCAACAAAACTTGTCATCTGTCTAGCAAAATATCTAATATGTAAATTCTATCTATTATAGTAAAATTTTGCAGTAAAAATCTCTACCATATCTGGGTCTTCTGTCTCAACATTTGCGTTATCAGCTGATGCCTGGTGTGATGAGTCTGTACTCAGACGGTGATGTGGAAGCTGGAGACATCCTGGCAGAACTGGGAAGACAGGTGAATAGAAAAATTTAAATTACATTAGAAATATATGTAACAAATTCCTGCCATTTAAATAGTTTTCTAAAGAGAGAACTTTGCACCATGTTATAAAATTCCCACAAAAAATACTTTTAATTTTCTTCACTGGAATTGTTATACTCAAGATTTCAAGTTTCAATTCAACTACACGTGACATGAACATCAAAAGCCAGATAAGTCCAAGGGAGTGTAATAGACAGATAACCAATAGATTGTGTAAACATGCTTAAAGTACGATGCTCTTAAATATAGTCCTATAAACCGTGAAAATTTTGGTCAACGTGGGAAAATTATGTGATGGAGATAATATAGTGACGAAGGTCGATAAAGACCTTGGACGGTTTGGGGTGCCTTATTTTTCTCATTCAAACACTAAGCATCGTATCCTACGACTGGATGCAGTTACTTTTTCTCTTAAACCATATGTTTATCCTCGACACTATCATATTAGTGCACACTTACCTTGTCCTTGAACGCCAGAAATAGCGGTAAAACTTTTCTTTCCGCTGAACACGCCTCGTCTCACCACGACGGCAGCCATGTTGATGACCTCTGGGTCACGGAAGGTGAAAGGTCAGTGCATGTTTTCAAAATGGCTCCGGCTTGAAACGGATTTGTGGTGAGTTGCTTCGACATAGCGCTGTTTTTTCTTCAGATGTGCTATACAAACCACTTATAACGCTACCTTCTGTTAAAGTGATACATTTACATGCACGTGAGTTGAATTTTGCCTACTGAGCCAACAGACGAGGTGATCTTTTTTGCATGAGCAAAAATTATGATTAGGTTCCAGTTTCAACTTTGTTTATACATGCTAACAGGTGTCATCCCAACCAACGTTTTAATGTCTAACATCCACCACATGTATGTTTTATTGCATCAGCTGCAGCTGCATTCTTTCAAGATGACTGAAGTAGAGAAAACGGTGGCTGCGGTAAGGAAGGCTGCTCTTTGTAGGCCATATATTCTTTTAGGCAATGACTATTGCATTGACAACTTCCATTCTAACTTTTTCTCAGAATTGTCGCAAAGCAAATTATTACACTGCGTGTTGACTTTCTTGGTACAGTTTTAACCAGTCTCAAACAGTACTAGTCAGTGTACCTGAATGTAGTCTTGAAACTTTCACCGTGGTTTTAGTTTTGTGTTTTTTGCGGTGACCTTTTCAACATATATAATGCACTACTGTTATTCTTTTTCTGGTGTTTAATCATTTGTACACTTGTTTATGTTTATCACTTAGTTGTTGGTAATTACCAAGGAGTTTGTTAATAAAAATTATTACCAAAAAAATGCCACTGTTATGACTACACGTTTATACAGAACACCTCAGCACCCAATGCACTGACTGGCTCTGCTGCAATTCACCCTGGAAAATCACCTGTGAGTAGAACAATAGTGGAGCTTGTTTTCAATGTAGCCATAGAGAGTGTTGTAGGGCTTCTCTTGCTTGCAGTTAACATACCGGTATAGCCCATACTGGCTATATGATAAGCCCTGTAACACACACCTGCTGTACACACCAGAGTGATCTCTCCAACTGGACTAGTCTACTCCCCCTCTAGGGGTGTTCCTAGGACTCTAACAATATGACTGCAAGCAAGAGAAGCCCTGTAACTCAGTGTAAGAGACGCCACAGCTAGTGCTCAGTGCTGCTTATCTTTTTTTTTTGGCATGATCTAGCCAGGATTTTATTGAGGGTGTGCAGGGGGATATGGTTCTTTTGTAGATTTTGTTGACAAGTGATTCTCAGGATGAATACAAGTGATTTTGTTTTCTACAGCTGATGGTTCTCCAGGCAAACGGTCTCCTGACTGACTTCAGCAAACCAGCCCAGGAGAGAGGTGGGGGAAATCTATTGTTTTGACCAACAACGATAACGTCAGAGAACTAGATGAAATTATGCAGCTTAGCAAGGATGTCTTTGGTCATATTTTTAAATTAAATTGAGGTTGATATTGAAATGGATTATGCTTCTATTGTGTATTTTTGTTACAGAAGATACAATACAAAGTTGAAGTAGAGCATTAAAAGTAAAAATTTAAACACTGCTGTTGTTTCAGCAGAGGTGAGCGAAGATGTGCTGCGGGCCCAGGAGGAGTGGGATGCTGTGGAGACAGTTCAGCCAGGTAGGGAGATGTTATGAACCCACTATGAAACCAGTAGGAAACCCCCCTACGTGATATTGTTAGAGTCCTAGGAACACCCCTAGAGGGGGAGTAGACTAGTCTGGTTGGAGAGATCACTCTGGTGATAGAGTGTACGAAGAGAGATTAAAGTTCTGTTACTCCACAACTGTTGTTGTTGACCCGCTACTGCTAGCGTGACGAGAGCGGTGGGGATTTCATCCACCGTGCCGTTAGCCATCCGGACTCGTATGGACTCGCCAAGGTAAGCGTCGTGGGGGACGTATTTGCCATTGACGAATGTCATCGTACTGCCCGTATCTCGACACATGTGGACCCGTTGTCCATTGACTGTCCCGTCCACGCTCCACTCGTTATCAGGAATAGGCTGGTCGGAGTCCAAGAACTTGTAACGTCCCTGGCAGAACATGCTATTCTGTAGCTTGGCTTTTTGGAGTTTGCGACAGCGGCTGACGTAGTGTCCAGGCACCTTGCAGAAGGCGCATGTGAGGCCGGGTTGTGGTGAGCTCACGCAACCACTCCTTATAGCTGTCCGTGGGTTGCTTTCTGGATGTCCGGAAGCGGCATCAATACTCCTCTTAGAAATAATAAAAGAACCTGACAGCGAGTGCTAAAAGCCACAGGATCGCCAGGAACCAGTGAATTGTTTTAGAATGGGGTAGCTGGCTGATCGAAAGTAGGAACACGTGTACCAAAGGTGTACCATGGGAGGTAATTGGGTAACAGAGAAGAACGTCGGGTATAAAATCAGCTACGTAAGAGAGAGACAAATACGCATTAAAGTATAATTATAACGGGTAATGTGTCAGAAAGCTAAACCAGAAACAGGGAACTGTTTTCAGACGGCCCAGCCGTGTAGGGGATTTGCTGGTAAACAAATAGTGGGTGGTTTGGCAAATGGGCAACACATGTGCAAAAGTCAAAACCATGTCAGAGAAGTGTTGCACTGTCCTTTCTTCTCCCTGTTGAGAGGACTGCATGCCCTTTTTTTGTTAACCGTTATGGGCTATTTTAATTTACCATTAATCGTTGCCGGCCCACTTTAATTCAACGTTAAGCGTTATCAGTATATTCATCGTGAAGCGTTATTGGTCGTTTAATTCAACGTAAAATGTTATTTGTCATCCTAAATTCAGCGTTAAGCGTTAATGAATAATTCTTCGTTACGCCTAATTTTGCCTTTCAAAGTGCAAGAAAATGCATTATTGAAGGTTTAAAAATACAAAATTTCTAGGGGGAGAATGCCCCCGGACCCCCCCTACATTGCTAGCGCCTTCTGCGCTCGGTCCCTTTGGCTCTAGCCAGCACCATGGTTTTCCGTCAATTACCGGAAGTTTGCGGAGAGTTACAGAGTCTATTTAACGAATCCGTTAACCTTGAGAGACAAAAATTACCAAAATATTGAGTAAAAAATATGAAAACATCAGAAGGACCGACAAACACTCTCAACACCATGATTTGCCTCTCAAAATGCGGGAAATTGCGTTTTTAGCCTTTATTTGTGGACGCAATCGGGGACCAGGGCATGTGGGAAACACAGGGAACACATACCTTTATATAATGCGTGCCTCATTACATGTAAGGTGTACGTAATTTTGTCAGTAATCACCTTTTCTCACAAAGCGAGATACCAAATCCAGTGCAGCTTGAAAAAAAAAGCCTGTCAATTTACCGTTAAGCGTTGCCGACCATCCTGAATTTACCGTTAAGCGTTATCGGCCCTGCTGAATTTACCGTTAACCGTTGCCAGCCCCCCTCCATGCCCTCTGTTGAGGCTGACGGCGGAGTCACGCAGCACGGGAAGGCACTGGAACGTTGCTTCTCTCCTATAGGCTCCCCTGGGCGGCTGCCACGTTGTTGAACTTCGGAAGTGTCTGGAGTAGTCCTCTTGCAGCAAAGGCCTACTAAACAGCTCCTGAAGGCACGTCCGGATGCAACCACTGGGACTGTCCTGTCCTATCGTATCCCTGTATAAACAGCTGAGGCTTGGAACACTGAAGAGTAGGATCTGGGACGTTATTCCCTCGGTAGTGGTGACCGGGAAGACAGGAGACGAGGTTGGCACAAAAGCAAGAACTGCTGTCTGGTGTCAAACTTCCCTGGTGAAGTCACAGGTTGAACTCTGGAAGGGGTCAGTTAAGTCCATGGTTTAGAGTATCAAAGGCCCTGGAAAAATTGCAAAAGATCACACCAGTGTGTTGTTTTTTGTCGATTGATTCAATCCAGTCCTCTGTTACAAAGTGCAGGGCAGACTCGCAAGAATGGCGCTTTCTGAAACCTGACTGGCATTGGGAGAGTAGTTGGTGCTGGTTAAGGTAACCCTATAGCTGGTTGTGAACCGCCCTTCTACTGTATTTTGGAAAATACCAGGTAGGATAGATACTGGGCGATAATCAGAGTCAATGTGGAAACAACAGTTGTGGAGTAAACAGAACTTTAATCTCTCTTTCATCAAAGATGCAGGGCATATGTTACTTCTCAGACCTGTGTACAGAAATTGTTCCAAAACTATTAGTACATTGTAACGTTAAGTCTACTTGGATTGTTGTGTTCCCTCCAAAGTTGTCTTTTAAACTCCAAAACAAAGAGCTAGGGTCAAGACAAGCACTTCATCTCATTATGTTACTATTGCTGACTGTTACCTTATTGGTACACAACATTATTTGTGTGTTTTGGAAAAATAAGCACAAGAACTTTGTACTTTCTTTTTTACAACTCTTCTGTCACTACACTGATCTTGTATGTCTATATTCAGTAATGCGATACATATGTACATACATTTACATGTATAACCTTTCCCTACTACCACCTTTTGGTGTGATATTTAAAGTGAAAGACCAGAACTAACCACTAACATTCCTCTTCCTTCTGACTGCTGCATGATGTGTGCTACAGAAAACCAGAGTGAAGGTATCACGAGCCCTTGGTTGAGTAGCGTAGTGCTGTGTGTCACATAATTCAGCAAAATATGCAGCCCTAGTAGATTTGCAGGTTTCCTCTTTCAGGCCTTGCTGTAATCTTGGTAGATGCAGCTTACTGTAGTCATATCTATTAGATGTAGGCTGACTTTTGCAAGCATTACATGAGGCTGTGGTGATGCAATGTATACCGTGTCAATTGTGTTACACATGTAGGGCTAGCTTTTGATGACTTAATTTTCTGCTATACCATTTTTGTCAGTACATAACAGTGTTTGATATGTATACATACTTTTTTTATAGTGACACATTTGTAGTATTTGTAAGAAATTTGTATGACCTAACGTAAATAGCGGTTTCAGTGTTGCATTTTTGCACTAGAAGAGCGAAAAGTAATTAGGAAATTAGGCTTACACTGCAGCTTTTGTCTTGCATCAAATCACTTGTTGGAGTGTTGTTTTCTTCTTTCCCTATTCACATCTCACAGCACTAAGATGCTAACAATCCTGTTTTG